TATTCTTGTCGGTTTTCCGATAGTAAACTCTTGTTTCAATTTCCTTATAATTTCCTCCAGGGCCAAGTTGTAAAGAAGTGGGGACAAAGCATCACCTTGCTTTAAACCATATGTTGTTTGAAAAGGGTGTGACTTTCTGCCTTTAAATATTAACATATAACAAGTGCCTTTCATACATGTTTTGGTCGTGGTAATTAACTTCTTTGGTATTCCAAAGTCCCTCATAGCATCCCATAAACTGTTGCTATGTACACTATTGTCTGCCTTTTTAAAATTCACGAAAACATTATGTATATCTTTTCCATATATCCAATTTGTGTTCTGTTAATTGCCGTAAATAATATATGATCTATTGTTCTGTCGAAAACCAGCTTGTAATCTCCCAATGTATCTTCGACGTATAGTTTTAGCCTGTTTAGCAGTACCGCCGATAGTATCTCATAACTTGCAGATAATTGTGATATTCCTCCATAATTATTACACTTGTCTCCTTTCTTAAAAATGGCTATTAATAAAGACACGTTCCATTCATGAGGTAATTTCTCCGTCTTTCTGTGCTAGCGGGGAAAAAAGATGGGGAAATAAGTAAAGAAAGTTCTGGTAAGGACACAATGTAGTAGTTCCCCGCCGAACAGCAAAACTGGAAAGTAAAGAAAAGACAGGGTTCTTCTGCAGGGGGACAATGAAATCAAGTTTTCTTGGCCCAGACAAAGGATATTTGTATGGTTAGTTATATAACAACAACATAACCACATGAATGTAACTTCACCTAGGCAAACCCCGTGCATAAACGATTTCTATCTTGAATCAAGCAACTGGAACTATAATTATCACATTGAACATCTGTTTATTTCGCTTAAAGTAATATCAGCCTGGTTCACAATTAACAACACAATAACGATAATCATCATGTCTACCCAGGCCACGCATTAAGCAGCGACTAACATATATGAAAGTTCGCTTCTAGCGACCTAAAATTAAATATCCCAAAGTGATATGCGTGGATATATCTCTATATAGTTTAACTACTAAAGACAAATTTAAGTTTAACTATTGCCATGCAGTCGACCAGTCTACCGTCGCTCCAACGTGTGAACTTCAATATTAAAGCACTTCGGCCGGTTGGTGTAGGGCTGTAGGTCGAACGACCTCTAAGGTTAACTGTCTGTCGTTTTCTGTAACTACATGAAAGACCGATGTGTGTCTTCTGACGGTGTCGCGTTGGTTTATGTTTAGGATAGATATCATTGTCATAGAGCTGCGAACGAGCTGTTGCCATTAAGGCAGTAAGCAGCTCTTTGACAGCTCCTAATCACTTTTCTTTTAAAAAGGTTCCACACAATACCAGAACTTTGGAAAATGATACACAATTTCTAAAACGTACTAAACTATCGGACATGAGATAGATAGATAGATAGATAGATAGATAGATAGATAGATAGATAGATAGATAGATAGATAGATAGATAGATAGATAGATAGATAGATAGATAGAGATAGATAGATAGATAGATAGATAGATAGATAGATAGATAGATAGATAGATAGATAGATAGATAGATAGATAGATAGATAGATAGATAGATAGATAGATAGATAGATAGATAGATAGATAGATAGATAGATAGATAGATAGATAGATAGATAGATAGGTTAGATAGGTTAGATAGACAAGATAGACTAGACAGACAGACAGACAGACAGACAGACAGACAGACAGACAGACAGACAGACAGACAGACAGACAGACAGACAGACAGACAGACAGACAGACAGACAGACAGACAGACAGACAGACAGACAGACAGACAGACAGACAGACAGACAGACAGACAGACAGACAGACAGACAGACAGACAGACAGACAGACAGACAGATAGATAGATAGATAGATAGATAGATAGATAGATAGATAGAGATAGATAGATAGATAGATAGATAGATAGATAGATAGATAGATAGATAGATAGATAGATAGATAGATAGATAGAGATAGATAGATAGATATAGATAGATAGATAGATAGATAGATAGATAGATAGATAGATAGATAGATAGATAGATAGATAGATAGATAGATAGATAGATAGATAGATAGATAGATAGATAGATAGATAGATAGATAGATAGATAGATAGATAGATAGATAGATAGATAGATAGATAGATAGATAGATAGATAGATAGATAGATAGATAGATAGATAGATGGATCGATAGATGGATGGATCGATAGATGGATGGATCGATAGATGGATGGATCGATAGATGGATGGATCGATAGATAGATAGATCGATAGATAGATAGATCGATAGATAGATAGATCGATAGATAGATAGATAGATAGATAGATAGATAGATAGATAGATAGATAGATAGATAGATAGATAGATAGATAGATAGATAGATAGATAGATAGATAGATAGATAGATAGATAGATAGATAAGATAGAGATAGATAGATAGATAGATAGATAGATAGATAGATAGATAGATAGATAGATAGAGATAGATAGATAGATAGTAGATAGATAGATAGATAGATAGATAGATAGATAGATAGATAGATAGATAGATATAGATAGATAGATAGATAGATAGATAGATAGATAGATAGATAGATAGATAGATAGATAGAGATAGATAGATAGATAGAGATAGATAGATAGATAGATAGATAGATAGATAGATAGATAGATAGATAGATAGATAGATAGATAGATAGATAGATAGATAGATAGATAGATAGATAGATAGATAGATAGATAGATAGATAGATAGATAGATAGATAGATAGATAGATAGATAGATAGATAGATAGATAGATAGATAGATAGATAGATAGATAGATAGATAGATAGATAGATAGATAGATAGATAGATAGACAGCTGTTAGGCTACTCTTTTCGATTTCCAACTGAAAAGATATTTTTTACGTGCGCAACAATGCATGCACACAGGCGTCCGATCTCACTACCCAGAGACCAAGGATAATTACTAGAAGTACAAGTTACCATGAAAAAATCCCAGTCCAAACAGGGGATTGAACCCCGAACCTTAAGCACTGGAGGCGTTTAAGAAGTCCCAGACCAAAGTTTATATTACAAGCTTGAAAAGAACGGCAGATTGAAAATTAGTCAACAATTATATTTAACCTGCTGTATAGTTTAGAAATCTGGACAAGGAAAAGGCAACTAGAAAATCACGTAGTCTCTGGAAATGTGGACATACAGAGGTCAGTCAGTCAGTCAGTCAGTCAGTCAGTCAGTCAGTCAGTCAGTCAGTCAGTCAGTCAGTCAGTCAGTCAGTCAGTCAGTCAGTCAGTCAGCAGCATGTCCTTTGCAGAACCTTGCTCCCATAACAACACTCCAGAAAACTTCTCGATTACAAGCAAGATGTCTCGCTCCGATAAACGGACCTGGAGATCATCCACCACATCCTGCACCCATCTTCTCTTTGGCCTTCCTCTTCCTCTCTTATCAGGCATATACCCCTGCAATATTGTTCACTCCAAACTTGAAAGTGACCAAAATATTTGAATTTTCTGTCTTTTACCGTCTTTATTAGTCAACCGTCTTATTCTTATACAGATGAATAGATCGTATTTCATTGGGGGGGGGGGGGGGAAGAGGGACAATCAAATATAGAATATATGGGGAGACTGCGAATTAAAAGAAAGTAACTGAAGGAAATAATTTTGCAAAAAATAACAACAACATACACACATAAACACAATTGAAATATTCCGTCTAGAGGGACAACACTCTGTTAAAGCCATAATGGGGAGAACCTTGAAGACAAGAGAGCAACACGCAAACAATGATACAAGCGGGAAGGCGGCATCAAGAGACAGACAAACAGCAGTCTGAAAGAGTGAACAACCTTGACATGAGATCCATTGCATCAAATATTCATTGTAGAGATAACACCTGAATGATTGACTGAAGATGCCTTGGGTGCGGTAAATCGTCTTCTTGAGATGCAAGGAGATTGCTAGACACTGAACGGAGCAACCCAGAGAAGTTCCTGGAAGCATGGTCGGCAATTTACCGACTATTTACCCGCCACTGCCATACAGTGCCGTACCATTACATTATTGACAACTAGGTCACCTTGTGAGACACTGGATGGAGCAACCCAGAGAAGTTCCTGGAAGCATGGTCGTCAATTTTACTATTTACCCGGCATTGCCATAAGGTGCCGTACCAATACATTATTGACAACTAGGTCACCATATGTTACACTGAATGGAGCAACCCAGAGAAGTTCCTGGAAGCAAGGTCGGCAATTTACTATTTACCCGGCATTGCTATAAGGTGCCGTACCGATATCATTATAGACAACTAGGTCACCATCTGTTACACTGAATGGAGAAATCCACAGAAGTTTCTGGAAGCAAGGTCGGCAACTAGGGTATGAAGTAGAAGCAGGAATGTTGTTCTCTTTTGCACATTCATTTGTTGTTTCCTCACTCCGTCGCTTGATTTGTACGTTCTATTGCTACCTAACACTAACCTTGGACTAAAGCTTCTCAAATTCAAAATTCCTGAGTTATTTAGCTAGAAAGATCGTTGCATATTGGTCACTAACATATGGCTTGAACTGTGCTTAAGAACCGATGTCTTCTCTCTCGTGTATATCTTTTTCTTGTTGGGGAAGGTATACTGGTGTACTAGTTATTCGTTGTAATCACTATCTCATCTCGCATGTTCATTCGCTCTCTCTCTCTCTCTCTCTCTCTCTCTCTCTCTCTCTCTCTCTCTCTCTCTCTCTCTCCAGTTGTCATGGCAATATGACACATCACCACAAATAACAGAAACGTCAACAAAACAAAATATTTAAAATTTATCTGTTTATTGCAATAAACAAACAATTTCACTCTACTGCAGCCGTGTTGTCTACATCCTTGATATCTTCACATACTGCTAGTGGCTGTAGTTCCAGCAAGTCTGTCTTGCAGACCTGATTTCGGCTGCAGGAGGTGTGATAATCTGGAAGACGTTAGACACAGAAAGCCTGGCAAGCTTCAGCGTCCTCAAAGTTGTTGGGGTAGGTTCCACAACCACCGAAGAAGAAGGTCTCACATTTGGCAGTGGTGATGTTGTAGAAGTAACGCTCTATATGACCCTTGCATAGACCCAACTCCGGCTCCAGGGTACAATCGCTGGCTGCAAAACAAGAGACGCGTTTGTCAGTTTATATTCAGATGTCGAATAATTAAAAAGTAATGTACTAGGGCGGAGAAGCCGTAACTACCAAGATGAAAATAAAGGAAAATAGTTCGTTAGGTGGGGACTAGAAACAAGAATATTCTAGTCCATTGGGTTCACCGTTTCAATTTTTACAGAGACTCCCGGGAATCGACGCTGGAGCTAAGGTTTTCGTGCTTTGTGTAGGTTCTAGCCGTTCTGCTGAGAGGGACCGAGACATATGGCATAATACCAGAGCAATGAAGTCGATTCTCTTAACTATAACCTTTATCCTCCTTCTCCTCTTATCATTCATTTCTCATCATCCTCCTCGTATTCCTCCTTGCTGCTATTCTTTTTCATCTTTTAATTATTATTATTGTCATAAAAATTCTCCGTTCGATCTTAAAAAACAGTTGGCATGCTGAGGTTTACAGCTAGGCTTCGATATCCGCGCCTTTCGGCCTAAGATATCCGATTCAGAAAGCTCTTATTTACCCATCTGTTCCTGATTGTTGGGGGACTGTTGGTGTACTATAGGCCCCTCCCCCCATCTCCACTGACCCACGAACAGGGTCTTGAAACCCACAAGGGGACACTCAGTGGTTTGTTTTGTTAGACCCATAGAAGCGTCGGTAGATGTTACTATTCTGTGGTAGTCACTGGCCTACAGAGCTGAACAACTCGTTTTCGCATCCTTGGATATTTAATGTCACTTAAGTTCCAAGGTTGATTCAGCCTAACACAACCAAAAAGAAATATTATGGGAAGTAAAGAGGCCAGCCTTTCTTAATGCCAGGGTGCCGGGTTCGATCCCAGCTCAGGCCTTGCGCCTTGTGTTGGTTTCGACAGTGGTATCAAGAAGCCGACCGTCCAGAAGGCAAAGGCAAATTATTGGGCGTAAATTTGCCTAGAAAACCCACAACAGTAAAATAAAAAAAAATGCTATTGTTGGTTCTGCAACGTCCTATAAAGGATACACAACTAACTAACTAAAGCGGTCAGCGTGTTGTTGACTGCGTCAGACTTAGAAAGCCGATTAGTATGTAAATATATATCTCTTTAGAAAATCGCCTCATCCACAGCCTAAATGTTCTTAGTCCAAGTGGTATAAATGTCCAACATACCTTCATCTAAACAGTTTTACTATTATCACTTTTTCAATTTGAATTATTTTCTTTTCTTTTCTTTTCTTTCCAATTATTACTTTGTTCTATCTCTTTTCAGTATTATTAACATGTGTATTTCTATTGTTCCTACTATTATAATTTATATATATATATATATACAAAATGTTACTTTTTAATTTTAGCGACTATATATATATATAGTTTTCATTTATTTTATTTTATTTCATTCACTCCACATCACATTTTTTAAAATCTTGCTCACGTCACCCCTCAGAGATCTGAATACTCTCCTATTTGTTACCTGTCTGACAAAGGCTGTAGGCCAAAACGTTTTTTGTATTGTTTTGTGCACGTTTTTTGACTCCCTATTTCGTCAAGCTTTTTAGTCACATTTCACAGGAGTTCTATGTAAATGTATAGGTATAGCAAAGAACCATATGTTAATGGTGTAAAAAGGCTGGGTAGACTTGAAAGCCAAGGTCATTTTTGAAATAGTCTAGCGCTGTCAGACTTGAACCCGCGACCTTCGGATCTGCAGATAAGATTCTAGCCAGTATATAATAGCCATGATTTAATTATGTGTTCATATAGAGGCAGCCCGCCAGGCTGATAGACAAAAGCCGGTACACTATATGGGCTCTGGTAGAAGTTGAAGCGTTTGAAACCCCACTCTGGCTTTTGCCAGTGGCCGCAATATAGGCAGGTCATTAATATGGCCAATTGTCTGAGCGCGGTTTCTGGGACCTCTCCACGGTGATCCTCATCCACATGGTGGCACTTTGTGTCATTGGGTGTTTATCGATTGTGTGATGTCCTAGTGGGGTAAAAAGTCAGTCAGTCAGTTGAAATATGTGTTTATATGCAGGCAGCCCGCCAGGCTGATAGACAAAAGCCGGTACATAGGAGCTGATAGAAGTTGTATTATGTGTTTATATACAGGCAGTCCGCCAGGTTGATAGACAAAAAACGGTACACTATATAGACTCTGACAGAAGATAAGTTATGTATTTATGTACAGACAAACGTCGGTACGAGAACTCTGGTAGAAGTCGAATTATATGTTCATAGACAGACAGCCGCCAGGTTGATAGACAAATGTCAGAAAGGTCCATTGAGAAAACTTACGAAGTGCGGCAGACATCTGGATGGCGACCATGCCGAGGAGGAAGCAAACGACGAGTGCGGAGTTCATGGTTTCTGGACAACGGTAAAGTCTGGGAGACTGGACACTGGTGATACTTGCAAGGCTGGGTGTCTGTCGCTTGCTGGGTTCTCCATTATATAGGCGGGTACAGGGATGTGGGCGTGTCGGCCAGCAGCGGTTGTCTGTTGCCATTACTCTCAGAGCTAGGTACTTGTATAGAGCTAGCAGCAGGTTGTGCAGGAGAGTAACTGCCTGGAGTGTTTAGTAAACAGTTGTTGAGTTAAGTTTATGCTATCGTACTCTTTGGTATTGTCGAGGTTGGGGGCGGCCGTGGAATGTCTAGTCGTAAAACGAAAAACCTGCATACTGCCGTATTAAGGGTGAACGTAGCAAAATAAAAGAATAAAAATAAAGTCGCAACCAATACACTAAATGTCTCTTTTCTGTATCAATCGCAAACATTGGATAATGTCTACCGGTACTTTCTATGTGTGGTCAGAACACAATTCACAAACCTGGCCCATTTGTGTGTCATGCTCTTTTGAATCTTATGTTGTTGTTTTTTAAATAGTGCCTATTACCCACTACACCCATTTCCTTTTTTCCCTCTCCCCACCCCTTCCTCGTAATGCCCGGGTGTCGTATTAGATCACAGCTGCGCACGGTTTGTCTTGCATCCTGATTTTTATTGTTTTTGTTGTTGTTGTTAATCATTATTCTCGTCATCGTCATCATCATCATAATCAGCGTCCTCATTATCATCATCATTATGTGGCAGGTCCTCAGAAGAACGTCGCTCTTTCCGTAAAGCCAGTTGGTCCCAGTCAACTATCCCACTGTCACAGACCTATTTTATTTTCTTCTTACTCTGGCTCGTTGGGTAGGTCAGTTAACAGACTTAACTATCCTTGGACACATTGACTGGATCTGGACCACTTGGTGGTGAACTGATACATGACAAGGCAGATGTGGTCAAGGCTCTTTGGGAACAAGCAACGGAATCAGTAGACATAGAAATTATGGGCTGGAGAGAATGAGGCACCTGGCTGTAAACCAGAGGGTCTGGCCTGTTTACTACACTCAGAGGCAAGGCAAGACGGACATATAACCAGATAGTGACATGTACCATCAGTATCAGAACTCTGCGCTGGCTGCTAAAGATGAGGACGGAGCATGCATGGGAATTTCCAGAGTGCTGTGATGTCAATTCTCAGCTCAGCTCAGAAAAGCCAGATCTGTGCCTGGCATCTGCACGACAAATTTCAAGTTATGAAGAAGTTCAGAAAAAGACGAAAGTCCAGAATTTGGCGAAGAACCAGAACTTTATGACAGAGTTTACTGCCGGTGAGCGCAGAAAAAAGGGAAACGTTGAGGGGAAAGGAGGGGGGGGGGGAGGAGGATATAGAATAAAATGAAGTAGGCAGGTTAATTAAGCATAGAAAATATGAGAAGAAGCATGTTAAATAAATGCGGAGAGAACAATGGTCTTGCTCTTATTGTAGAAGATTTTCCTGACAGTGAGCGGGTGTTGCTGGTCGCACTCGCCATCGCCATGGACTGTGACTCCCGTGCCTCCCTATAACATTATCGTCTGCAAAGGACACTTGCCAGTTAGGATGTCCACCGCTGTAGATATCATTTTAGAGTTTTTGTGAATACTTCTGTAACCACATCGCCAACACCTTTCATTTCTTCAAAATGTACACATCAATTAACAAGTCCACCCATCCATCCACCCATTCATACATTAGTCCATTTATGCATCCATCCTAATACCGTCAGTCCATCAGTGACTTAATTGACTGATCGATGTATTTATCCATCCATCCATCAATCCATCCATCCGTTAATATATTAGTCCATTTATCCATCCATCTACCAACCGTCAGTCCATCAATGATGGATCGATGTATTCATCCATCCATTCATCCATCCAACTACCAGTTCATCTACCCACCCATTCATCAATCCATCTGTTTACACATCCATCCATCAATCAATCGATCGATCGATCTATCCTCCATCTATCCATCCATCTACCCACCAGTCAATCCATCCAGTCATACATCCGTCTATCAATCCATCCATCCTTTTACTAATTCATTAATTTCACCCATCCATCCATCCATCAATCCAACCATCCATCCATCCATCCATCCATCCATCCATCCATCCATCCATCCATCCATCCATCCATCCATCCATCCATCCATCCATCCATCCATCCATCCATCCATCCATCCATCCATCCATCCATCCATCCATCCATCCATCCATCCATCCATCCATCCATCCATCAACCCCTCTATTTATCTGTTCTCTTCTTGTCTTCAAACATCCATGCACACATCTCTGCACCAGTCTAACTATGTGTGTATCTGTGCGCCTGGCCGTCTGCCATTCTGTCTGTCTGCTATTTTGTCTGTCTTTAATTCTGTCTTTCTGTCTGACGTGCATTTTTATCTGCAAAAGCTGACAGCCAACAACATGATGTTGGTGACGACGATGATGATGACGATGATGATGACAATGATGACGATGAAGACGACTTTGAAAATGATGAAGATAATAATGATAATAAAATCAACTACCCAAAGCCTCAGACTGGCTTGGTCGTCTTCTAATTCTCATCGAACACAATTTCACCTTTACAAATCATAACTGGTGATCGTCGCTAGAGCTACGTAGTTCGTGCTTTGGTGTGA